TGCACATTCGGCGTGTGGGCAGGGGGGGGCCTTGCACACTCGCTGTGCTGGCAGAGGGGCACCTTGCACACTCAGCGTGTGGGGAGAGGGGCACCTTGCACACTCACCCTTCAGCATGCAGGAAGGGGTTGTCTTGCACACTTGCTGCGCTGGCAGAGGGGTGCCTTGCACACTTATCCTCACCTTGCTGGCAGAGGGGCACCTTCCACACTCAGCGTGTGGGGAGAGGGGCACCTTGCACACTCAACCTCAGCGTGCGGGAAGGGGGGTGCCTTGCACACTCACTGTTCTGGAGGCTTTGCACACTCAGCGTGTGCGGAGAGGGGCACCTTGCACACCCTCAGCATGTGGGAAGGGGGGTTGTGCCTTGCACACTCGCTGTGCTGGCAGAGAGGCACCTTGCCCGCTCGCCCTCACCATGCTGGCAGGGGTGTGTCTTGCACACTCACCGTTCTGGAATCCTTGGGGCTGGCACGCTCACCATCCCAGGGCCACTGGGCTTTGCACACTCGCCATGCTGGAGGAGCCGGGGTGCGTGCTGCTCTGCCACCTGCTAACAAGGAGCAAAGCCTGTTAGCTCGCTCCCCGCCATGGCGAGCATGCAGCATCTCCCCCTTCCTTTGGGGTCTCTGGCTCCGGCTGTGCCATGACCCAGGGAGGAGGGGGGACGTTTCCCAGCGCTGGCGGCCGAGGTGAGAGCACCCAGACCCTCACGTGCGCGGAGGTGGCTGCGGAGGCTTTGGGGTTTGCCTGAGCAAGGGCAGCAGCGTGGCTGGTGCAGCCCAAAGCTCACCCCACGAGCGGAGAGGCAGCTTCTGCCCGTGCCGCAGCAATGGCTGGGGCTGCTGCAGGGGGTGCCACTGCCCGCTCGCACTGGCACCGGCACTGGCAGGGGACCAGCAAGGGGGATCCAGCTCCCTGAAGGTGCTGCGCAGGGAGAGCGAGGCACCCAGAGCCTGCTCCCACCTGGGGTTGAAGGGGAGGAGGTGGGGGCCAGCTGAGGCCTTGAGCCCCCTGCAAGAGCCCCCAGGGAGATGGGCTGTGGGGTGTGCTTGGGGGGAATGGGGGTTCGGTCCTAAGAAAGGGAAATGTGGTACGTTAAGGGCTTTTTTTAGATACCTCGGTGTGTGTCAGCCAGCTGGAGAATCTCTTTGGTTTGGAGGACTACAGGTTGTCTTTTGAATTCTAGCTCTTCCACTTCAGAGCGGCTTTATTTGTGAGTGAGCGTGAGGAAAGGGCTCCTGAGCCTCTTCTCAGACGCAGCTAAAAACGCGCTGTTGCACTCAGAGGTGCAGCCCTCAACCCGGGCTGTGAGAGTGCCTGGGGGGGGCTGGTGTGAGCGCTGGAGCCTTCTCTGCTACTTCTGTCCGCTCCTGTGAGAGCCGTGGCTTTACCTGGGGACTCCTCTGGGAGGCTAAAACCCTGTCTCTGCTTCGTGTGCCTGCTGAAGTGCCTGTGTTTCCTGTGGAGAGTCCTGAGTCCTTTTGTGCAAAGCAGTGAGCTCCCTGAGGTGGTCTTATTTCTGTTGGCGTTTTAATCGAGAGGAGACACTTAGACACTTTTCTGTGGTGCCCAGCGACAGGACAAGGGGCAATGGGCACAAACTGAAGCAGAGGAAGCTCCAGCTGAACCCGAGGAAGAACTTCTTCCCTCTGAGGGTGACGGAGCCCTGGCCCAGGCTGCCCAGGGAGGCTGTGGAGTCTCCTTCTCTGGAGATATTCAACATCCGCCTAGACGTGGTCCTGTGCAGCCTGCTCTGGGTGACCCTGCTTGGGCAGGGGGGTTGGACTGGATGATGCCCAGAGGTCCCTTCCAACCCCTAACATTTTGTGATTCTGTGAGATGCTTTAAGCTTGCTCATTTGCGGGTGGATGGGAGAGTAGCAGAGCAGTGCTACCTGCGATGGCAGTGTGGCTCGATGCTATAATGTGAGCTGATAACAGCAGATGGCTCTCAAAGCCTCTCTGAAACCTGGATGGACCCTGCCAGGGAGCACAAGCTCTGCCCTGGTCCTGTGCAGCCCTGGCATACCAGTACCAAGTGGTGGCTGGAGGTGGGTGCCTGGGGCAGAAGAACCATGCTCAGCTGGTGTGTCCTCCTGCTAGCCTGCAGACCAGAGCTTCCTGGTGCCTCTGTATTTGTGTGATAACTTCACTGCAAGACCTGCTAGTGGTACTGCATAACAAAATCTTCCTTCTTCTAGAGCAGGGTTGAACTCTTGCGCTGCCTTAAAATCAAGGAATAGACTCCGCTGGTGCCTGCAGGCCTCTCTGCTCCTCTGTGAGTGCCATCCTGTGGCGAGAACAGGAAAGGCTCCAAGGACAGGCGATCTACAGATGGCCACCAGCAGACTCTGCCCAGGGCAAGCAGTCAGGGTTTCAGAGTCTGCAGGCGCACTGGTATTTGGCATTTTGGCAAATTGGTATTTTTCACCCCAGAGCGATGTTCCCCTGCGTCTCTGCACCACTGGCAGGGCCGTGGTGGCTGCTCTTCTCTGGGAATAAAGCCTCCTCTGGCATCTCCGAAGTTTGTCAACTAAGGGGGCAGCTAATGCCAGGAGCAGTTTTCCGGCTTCAGCCCTGCGAGCTGCTGCTGGCATCTGGGCAGAGGCTGTAAACACCCTGGGTTTGTGCTCGAGGGAGGGGAACTGCTGGGGCTGGTAGCCTGGGTATGCAGACATAAAGCGATCCTGAATTCTCTGCAAGCATTTGCTGCTTTTCTGTGATACCAAGGCCAAGTGAGTCTTGACTTTATCTGATGTGCGGCCAGGAACCTAATAATTCCCTCAAGGTCACGTAAGTGAATGCATCCTGTAACTCCCCAATGAGTCAACTCTGCCTCTGATGGATACACAGGGTTTAAATGATCTGGAAAGCCTCTTGTAGCAGGAAATTTAGAAATGGAATAATGATTAATTTAAAAAAATCCTTAGGGGTATTTTGTCTTGTATCTTCTATTTGTAGGTGTCGGGCTCTGCATATTTTCCACACTATTCAACCGAGAAGAAAAATAAATAATCCTTTTCCAGCTGGGGTGGGGGCAAGAGGGAAGCGTGTAAGGCGGTGTAAGTGCCTCAGTCTCAGCTGTCGCTTCTCTCCACTTGCTGAAGTGATCGGAGGGAAAGTGGTGAATTTGTTTTTCCCATGCGCGGTGCTGCTGAGAGGCGAGGACCGTGCTGGCTGGCTCTTTCTGCTGAGTCATGGCCTGCTCGCTGCCTGTGCTGTCCTAACACCCAGGGTGTCTCTGATTTACATCTTTACAGTCCTGCTGGCCTCGGCGGGGGTTATAGGGGTGTGTCATGCTCCGATGGCCTGTGAAAATGAAATGTAAGTTGACTTCAGTTGGAGAGAACTGTGAGTTGCAAAAATTTGGTTTCAACTTGTGAGGAATGGAGCCGGCGGAGCTCTAATCCCCTCTCGAGCCATAAAGTTACACGCAGAGTCAGAGCTGCCGGGGAAGTTTTGCAGGAGCCTTGTTCTGGTCTGCTCAGCGCAGGCCCGGGCAATGCCCGCTGTCCTGCTGTTACTGACAGCGCACAAGCATGGCTGGGAAAACTGCTTGTGTAACGCCCAGCTCCCTGCCGCGATCTCCATGGAGAGGCTTCAAAGCATGGCGAGCTTACGAAACGCAGCTGGCTCCCTGGGCCTGCGGCCGTGCCCTGGGAAGCAAGTCTGGGGGCTGCGTCTGCCTCGGGCTTCCTTATTTAGGAAAGGGTCATCCTGTGGTCTACCAGCATGCCATAGCATCTGGAATTGTTTCAGAAAGATCAATCCTGTCTCCTTGCTGGAAACCATTTTGAAAGCAATTAGCCCATTTTCCTTTTTTTAGGTGAACTTTAACGACCAGGTTGCAAAAGAGATCTGGGTAGTACTGTAATGGAATTAAGCGAGTGCAGAATTTGAGGATTTATTTCAGCCAGGATCATTATGGTTTTGCAAAAGCCATGCTTATTCTGAATTAAGTGACTGAAATGAAGCAGCTTGTGGAAAGACAAGGCCCTGGGGACCTCAGAGTTAAAACCACTACAACACAGAATTCATCACACAGTTGCAGTTCTGCAGGTTGATTTCTGCTGCAGGTGAGACCTGAGCAATCGCATCCTACCGTCCACAGCACCTGCCTTGGAAAGCCTTGATACAGCTGTGAAACAGGTTGCAAAACTCACCTGTGAGGAAAATGAGCCCTGTCTTATGGTTGAGAACAGAGACGGGGAAGCTAAAGGCTTAATGCTTTTCTTCCTAAAGGTTTCCTTTGTAATTTGATGTTAAAAATAGTGTCTTGTTTCTGCCTAGCAGCAGTATAGACTGGAAGGAATGGAGGGGAAGGAAGAGTCTGGACTGAGTTAGAATTGTAGGATAAATTCACAGATCCTTTTTCCTATAAACAAAACCATTCTATGAACAAAAAGTAGCCAGAAGAGCTCTGTGCAGTAATTAAAGTCTATATGAGCTGTCAGCCTGCTCACAGGTAAGAAATCTGCCCACAGAGTGTTGTCTGCAGTTCCTCTTGGCCAGTGCAAGATCCGTTGATTACTGTGAGCTCATTCCACTCAGGGCTCGCAGCACTCGGCTGCGCTTTGGGACTCGGACTGCTCCAGCAGTTCCCGTAACATCTCGGTACTGCTGCAGCAGCATTGTGCACCCACCCCGTGCAAACCAGCGCGTGCCTGCTGGTGCAGGGCTGCTGTGCCTGAGATGCAGTACAGAACCAGTGTGTTGCTGCACAGTGGGGCTTTGCGTCAAAGGGTGGATCTGCAGCAAGCTAGAGATGTGTGTGAGATGTGGGGAGCAAGGGCACCTCAACAAGGGAATCTTCTCCCAGTTGTTACCCCTCTGACATGGACATTCAGCCCATGTTTTTGGCCCGGCAGGGTGTCGGTGAGGAGGAGCAGCTGGATGTAGATTTGGTTATTTCTTTGTAGTGATCTTGTTTTCTGAGAATCATAGAATGTTTTGGGTTAGAAGGAACTTTAAAGATCATCCAGTTCCAGCACCCCTGTCACAGGCAGGGACACCTTCCACCAGATTGCTCAAAGCCCCATCCAACCTGGCCTTGAACACTGCCAGGGAAGGGGCATCCACAGCTTCTCTGGGCAGCCTGTGCCAGGGCCTCAGCACCCTCAGAATAAAGAGATCCATGTGCTTCTATTTCTCTGAACACAGACAGAATTAAACAGCGAGATGCTGGGTCTGCTCACTGTGCCTTAGGACTGTTTACGATACTCCAAGCATCTTATTTTCAAGTACTGTGCCACCAGGCTTCTGTGGCTGTGCCCTGGGCCAGGACAGGAAGGTGCTTGCTCGTGTGATCGCAGTCTTGAGGATTGACTATGGGGAATCACTTCTGTTTTACTTGGGGCTGGCAGTACTGTGGTCCATCAGCGGATGCATTTAATTCTTGGCTAGTCTTTGCCAGCAGATGTTCTACATGGCCATAATGTGGTAAGAGCGGCTGTGCCTGAACATCGGCTGGGACTGGCTAATGATGCTTCCCAGCCCACGATTCCTTGGATCCGAAAGGGACTTGGTGCCTGGTGAACTGAGGACTCGGGCAGGCAAAGCTGAGCTTTGAGAAGACTTTAGAAAGCCAAGTCTCATCATCCTGAGTACTTTGCGTTAAGAAATGAGGGCAGGGAGTCTCCTTGGTTTTGTTGTCTTTAGACGAAGAAATAGCTCAGCTGATTCGCAGTCAGTCTTGTGTTCCTGGTACATCTGTACCGCCTGTAGGAAGAGCTGTGGTTCCAGAATTGGACTTTAGCTGCTTGCACTGTAATTTCAAATTCAGTTTGTTCCTTGTTGTCTCATAAGGAAGGATGCCCTTGTAGCACAGTAGTATTTATTTTACTATTCCCAAAGCAGTGGTATTTTTTTCAGAGAATTCTGAAATTCTCCAGCTAATTTATAGTGGGCACTTTTTGGCCATTGCCCTGGTTTTAGATGCCTCATCAGTTTCTATTGACTTGGAAA